CGCCCACCCGCGCCGGGCCGGAGCTCGTTGGGCTGCCTGCCGCACAGGCGCTCTCGGGCCCGCGGACCACCCTCGCACCTTCACGTTGAAGTACCCGTACCCTATCCGCGCAAACCGACTTCTGATATACTGCTGTCCAGAGGCTCTCCGTGGAAGCACCATTACGTGTCTGGAAGGTCTGGAATAGTGACGGTGCCTGTGGGAGATCCGAGAGGCACCGTTGTGTACCGCTACCGCTTAGCCATCATCCAGAAAGTCGGTCCGTCATTCGCCGTGATACGAAACTACAGAGTCCAGCCTGTTTACGATGCAGTTCCTCTTAGCGCCTGACGGGTAGGCAACATCTTGCCTGCAGTGCATACCTGCACTGCGGGATGGCCTACCCCGAGTCTCGCAGGCTCCGTCGGAGCGAGAGGGCAAGAACTGCAAAGGGCGCGGTACATTTCTGGTCCAATCCAATGTCTAATCCGAATTTCACACAACTTTGACTTCTACAGAGGGTGGTCGCTGTTTCTTGTCTCAGCAAACGCGTGTAATCGCCCGCATGCTCGGGTGCGGGAGGGTTTGCCTATCGCCTGTAGCCATGGCACCGTGCGAATATCGTGAGAAGCGACTGCTCTACACTTGATGTTCCAAAGACGCGTTGCAGAGTTTCAAAACGCATGAACTCTACTTTGCGTCAAGTAGCCCTCGCCCGTCCACCCTCCCAAAAACTAAAAATCTAAAGTTGTATACAGACACCACGCACTTTCATTAACACCGCGATGTGTATCGACACCACGAGCGCTGCTGTGTCTCGCCGGTTTAAAACTCTCCAAACAGAGGGGCCTGTTCTCGGTTTTGGCTTTGGCGGCGCGCGGTCCTCTTTGCTGGCTGAGCTCGAGTCTACACTACACGCTGAGCGAGCGCATTCACTTGGAACTTTGGAGTGGACGGGACGCAAGCGCGCCCCCCGCGCGACGAACGGCGGCGGGCTAGAGAGACAGTTGCCTACGCGGTGTGTGGTGACTCCGCGTTGCACCCAGAAAATCGTTTCTTTGAAAAAAAGAAAATTGGCCCTTAATTCTTTGATATAGACGTAAAGAAATATTTTCTTCAAATTGAAGAGCCTCTTTTGATTCAAAGAAATATATTTTTGGAGCAAAGAAGGCTTCTTTGAATCTAAGAAGGCTTCTTTGATTTAAAGAAAGAATTTCTTTAAATCTATATCAAAGAAACGATTCTCTGGGTGGGGAGCAGAAAGCGAGCGAGCGTGTGTGAGCGCGTGTGAGAGAGACATGGAGTGCCCCGCGGCCCCGCGCCCATGACACAGAGACAACAACGACAAACAGGAGCAATCGGTCGAGACTCGAGGTGGCCGGCGCATGAAGAGGTGCCACTTACTCACTTTCCCACGTGTCTGGTCCGAGCACGTGCGACGTGCGTCGCTGCTGGTCGCGCTGTATCGTGTCGCACCGTCAAACACGAATGTCCGTACAAAATATTGTGCGTCGTGACTACGGACTTTGGTTTTATTACTTTTGGTCACGGAGCAGCGGTCCGTACTTTACAAAAGTACGGGCAAACCGTAATTGATAACTAAGTAAGAACGGAGAGTTCCGTAATCAGTACGGTTTTATAAGTGTGGTGCCTAAACATTGGAAAATTTAGAATACGGGACTTGGAGTACGACGGCCTGATCCGTTTCTCGCAGGCACGGAAGCCTTCCGTACATTGCCTGTTTCAAAACAAACCTTCTGTTCACTAGAAAAAAATAAAAATAATCCGATGCAACTTTTGACAGTGCGCCCGTCTATCGACGTGCGATACACACAGACACGATGAGAGCTCAGCCGGACCGGTAGGAGGGGGTGGGGGGCCTCCGTCTGAGTGTGTCAAAATGCATAGTATGCGGCGTGTGTGCCTTATGGACGCACCATTACGCGATACGGCCGACATAATCGAAGACAAAGTTGCTATCACATTTCACAACGGAAAAGTTCGTTCTCGGTCGGGGCAGCCGCGGGGCACCCGGAAGGGGCGCTGGAACGTCTCCAAGAGGGCTCTGGAGAGCCTCCAGCCAGGGCGGTCCCCCCAGGAGACCTCTGTCTCAGGACGACCCGGCGCTCCCCACGCACATAAAACACAGACTACCTCCCCGCTGGTCGGGGAAAATGGGCACATAGAGAACGAAACACCCAAGCTGCGCTAGGGGGCATCCAGAAAGTACGGCCGTCATTCGTTGTTAGGAAATCGCCATATTCAGCCTCTGCAAGCCTCTCATAGCGCCTGGTAGGTAGGCAATATCTTGCCTGCACTGCATGCGTGTATTCCGGGCTGGCCTACCCCAAGTCTCACAGGCGCCCAGCTTCCGTAATTTGCCGAATGAATCCGAGGAAAACGGACGTAATTTCCTTGCTATCTCTAATATCTGTCCAAGTGACAGAAAACGGTCGATGAGAAATCAGTTGATGGCAGGGGTAGTCGTGTTGACGTCTATTTGAGCTCATTTTGACATAAAATGCCGCTGAAACAACTCCACGTCGAACAAAATTCACTTTGGCTTTTTCCTGTTTCTTGTGTCACAGCAGTGCTGTACAGTGCGATCATGGTCCGGTCTGCACTAGGTACAGTTTAACAATCTGCGAGGGTTTCACAACCTTGGTTCCAGTCCATTCTATTCTCGAGCTCGGAGCAAAGTGCACGTTTGAGCTGAACAACATCCAGACGCTGAACAGGAAGAGTGCGGCTAGCGATGTGAAAACTTCAATGCGTCGCACAGTAAATTGAAACTATTTGGCGAATAACTACACCACTGTCGATTCACTGTCGAACCGACATCGTTCCGACCACCGCCATTCCTCATCATTTGTATGAGGAATCTCCCTACCACTTGACATATCGCCGCACTGCTGAAACATTCCCGCGAACATTCGGTCGCACCAGCGGCTTCGTCCTCACGAAGCAAACGTCACTTGCTCTTTGCTGCGCGGCCGCGGGGCGCCAGCTGACATGCTGACATGCATGCGCGCCCAAAGCAAAACATTCTCATCCCGACTGCAAGGGAGTAAATGATAAACAACAACGCCGATTTGTGCTGATCTTTCTCGATTGAAAGACACAGTACACCGTCATACACCAAGTTTTTGACAGTCTGACACCTGCGAAATTATTTCCTGTCCGTCATACGTATTCAGGATTGCAATTCATTTTGCAACTAGTGTGTGTGTTTGTTTTTTTGCTTTGAAAATAAAAAGGTGGGGTTGGATTTTTTGCACGTTGGTTGACGTTGACACTAACCTCACTTCCGCATCTGGTTCTCCTCCCTCATGCTAGCCGTGTCCACTGCGACGCCAGAGCCACCGCCAGTCGGGAAATCCGCCGCGTGCGAGTGGGAAGGAGACGGGGACCTCTCTGACGACGACGCCGACGAGGAGTCGCCGGTCATCAGCTGGTGCGGGTGGTCGCACTGGTGGTCTCCGGGAGGGGGGGCAGCGTCCACACGGGAGGGCCGCGGGGCACGCGGTAGGGAGCCAGCCGGCGGCGGCGTGAGTGAGTGAGGCGCAACCTCGCTCCACAGCTCCACAGGTGCAGGCTTCCCGCCTCTCGCGCCTCGCGCCGTGCTCGTACCACTCGCGGACACACAGTAAAGGCGCTCTCTCCCTCCCGAACGCGCTCGTCCCCGCACACGCGTACTCGCCCCGCCAGTACCAGAACGCGCGCACTATGAGCGGCTAGTCTGACAACCTCTCCTCCACTTCGCGCGCAATCTGCTGGTGGCCGTTCAGTTAGGCCCCCCCAGCGCCCGCTCTCCCCCTCCCTCCCCTCGGTCTATCTGCCTGCCCCTGTCCCTTCCCGCTCTGGCCGGCCCGTGCGCTGTCGCGAGTTCGCCCCCCCCCCCCCCCTCCCACCTCGCTGTCCGTCTCGCTCTAGGCCGCCCCTTACACTCTCCGTCGTGAGCTGCCCCCATAACAACATGACACACACACGCGCGCGC